TTAGTCAATAAAGAATGAGTTTTTCCCAAACTTCATTCAAGAAAAAATTTCTTATGTGTTTCGACTTATAGTCATCAATATCTCCGTCTCGTATTTATCCTCTACATTTTCTAATGAAAAATCTAATATATTTTGCTTATTCTTATATACCCACTGAAAAAAGTTACTAGACAAAGATAATCACTTGTTGATATAGAAAAAAACGAGTTGCTTACCTGCCATAGTACTTTGGGTCAACCGTGGTCTTTCCACGGACAGAAAGTGATACTTTAAGCAAGACCCTATATTTATATTTGAACAAATATATTATAATCACTCACTTATGTTAGGGTTTCAAATCGAACACACGTGGCCACACAAGACTTGCCTCAGGACTTTGGCATGTGATCAACGTGGCTTGTCCACGTGGTCCATTCTTAGCAGATTAAAAACTCATACATAAACCTTTTCTTTTCTTTTTTTTGTCGTTGTGTTTTTTTGTCCTTGAACCATCGGTTTCAAGATCGGGAGAATTACGTATAGACCCAGATTTGTAGTTTAATTATTTTAAATTTTTTGATATTCGAAATATTATACACAAATCTTTTGAAATTTATATGCACATAATATTTAGACTCCTACCGTTGAATGTCTGTTAATATATCCGTTAATAAATTACACTCAAACTTCTTGAAATTTATAGAAGCATAATACTTAAACTCCTCAAGTTTAAGATGTTATACTTAGACAAAAATATTCTAATCAAATATAAAATATAAAATATTTTAAATTTTACAACCAAAATTCAAGTTATATTATATCATTTAGGAAATAAAATTAAAAATAAACGTCAATTTTTCTTTAAAAAAATCGTAACTAGTATATAATTATACTATTTATTGGAAAAAAACTAAAAAATCAAATAAGGAGTCTAAGTCATTAATAATAGAATATGAATTTTATAACCAAAATTTATGTTATATTATGTCATTTATTGAAATAAAATCAAAAATAAAAATTTATTTTTTTTCTTAAAAAATCATAATTAGTATACAATTATACTATCTATTGGAATAAAACTAAAAAAATTTAACAATTGGTTAAACTATAATTGATACAATATATTCTAGCTTTAATTGGGGGTAATTTGAAAGTTTAATTTAGTCGTTTTAACAATCAAATTAAATTTCAATAGATAGTATAATTATATATTAATTATGATTTTTTAATAAAATTTTAGATTTTTATTTTTAATTTTATTTTACTAAATGTCATAATATAACATGAAGTTTGGTCGTAAAATTTAAAATATTTGATATTTTATTTTTGATCGAAATATTTTTGGTCTAAATATAAAATTTTAAATTTGAGGGGTGTAAGTGTTATGCGTGTACAAATTTTAGGAGATCTGGATGTAATTATAATTGTATACTAATTGCGTTTTTTTTAAAAATAAATTAAATTTTTAATGATACAATAGAATATGAATTTTAATTATAAAATTTAAAATATTTGATATTTTATCTTTGATTGAAGTATTTTTTTTGTCTAAATATAACATTCAAAACTTAAAGAGTATAAGTAATATATGTTTACAAACTTTAAAGAGTTTTGGTGTAAGTTATTAGCAGACTAAACATAACCCGTACTTGAAGACACGATAAAATATAAAATTCGAGCGTCTAAAAAATCGATTTCATTATATTAATTTTTTTAAAAATATATTAATTACAAATTAATCAAATATTAAATAATTAAATATATGATAAAAATGAGTGATGTGATATTTTTAGGGAAGAAATATATAAATGATTAAACATATGATAAAAATAAATAATGCGATTTAACGTTTGAATCTGACAAAAGAATGATAGGTGAAGTAAATGATTAATGATGATTTTAAAAGAAAAAATATGACTGGGATAAAATTCAAACACACTCTTATTTTATTATATAAATATATTTACCGCAGTCCAAGTGTAACGTGCATGTGCAAACAAATTTTAGAGGATTGCGTGTAATATTTCAAAAGTCAGGGAATTTGAGTGAATAAGTGGCAAACCTCTGGGCCTCGGGGTCCGAACGTAATTCTCCTTTTTTTTTTTTTTTTTTTTTTTTGTCCTTAAACCGTCGGTTTCAAGATTCCAGCAATTGCACATACTTATAAACACCGGCTAGTTCAGAGGTGCAATTTGATCTGCTTGGATGGTCTGATCAAATGGCCTCTAGTCCTCATCAAACCCACATCCCTCTTCCTCCTGACCCAGGTAATTCTTTTGCTCTTCGTTTTTTTTGTCCTGTAAAAATGTATCTTCAATTGGATTGTAACTATGAGCTAATAGACAATGTTTAGTCAGGTATGATCAACAATTATTTCTTGGGTTTTGCTTATTTTGAGTTGGGTTTTGGAAATTATCGACCATATGCCTGCTGATTTGATGAATTAGAGTGTTTCAATTATTTCTGAATACGGGTGATTTGATACTGTTACTGATCTCAATCTCTTGGTTCATGCTGGCAATTACAAATCATGCCTATAGATTCAAGAATATATGTTGTCAGTCGCATTTCTAGTCCTCTGTGAGGGTGTGGCTGTGGGTGTGCTGTTCTGCTTTGGGTTTTGAAATGGCTTGTTAAAATAACTTGATATGAAAATTAGGTTTAACGTGAATTTATCACCGTTTGCTTCAGATGGTTGGGAGTTTCCATATTGTTGTTAATTGGGCTTCATTCCTCCTTCACTAGGAATTTTGAGAGAATGATATTTTTTTCCCAACTTTCTAGATACGTACAGTGATGACTCACATTCATGCATCCCACTTGCTTTTTGGGAATTCCTGAATGTAGTACTATTTCAGGCATTTATACACGTCTTCGTGTTAGGCGCTTGTAACAATTACCAGACCTGACAATTGTAGGGGGCATGGGTATCCAATGTAGTCCAATGGAACCAGTTTAGGCACGGCATTTGGGATGTTGGTATTGAGTTAGGGGTTGTTCCTAACATTTTTTTTTTATGAAATAGAAATTATTAGACTTTATACTCAAAATTTATGGGCATCGTGTGAGTTTAACGAGTTAATTATGGTTATATCTTTATATTAGATTGTCATTTTACATGCTAAGTGGGCTTATTTAGTTTGCACTGCACATCCAGTTACACCACACTCTTTAGCATCTAAAATCCGCTCTCGTACTTAACAGAGCACAACGTAACATTTTTTTTTCTTGCAAAAGTTAATATAGTTGGTGAGAACGATTAACTAACAAGGATGCAGAGCTAGGAAATTTTATGGTATGTGATGCTCTGGAATTATATTGTCCTTTTCCCTCATTTTCTGTCCTTTTTTTTTCCCTGTACTTTGTAATTAGTTTCCTGAGGTCTGCACCATTCCCACTTGCTAGTTGTCTGTGTCTTAGATTTGATGCTGAGAATTGTTCTGATTAATGCACCCTGTTTAGTAATACCACTATTAAAATCCCAAAAGAAACTGGAAAACCTAAAACCTTGGGGGGGGGGGGGGGGGGGTTTAACAGCTTCGACTGAACATGGACCTGAAGGTGGTATGTGAATTGTACTCGTTGGTTTTCAGTTTGTTATCCAGAAGATGGTATTTCAATTTTCTTGTTTGCATCTATCTGTTTTAAGAATTATTGCAATCCATATTGCTGTTGTTTCTCCTATTTTTTGCAAAGCCATATCTCTAAGTTGGGCATTTTAACTTCCAATCTACATTTTAAAACATTAATTTACTGTTTTTGCAGGTGAAAATACCATCACTCATGAAGCTAACTTGTCTCCAGTTCCTATTTATATTGTCACACATGCGGGTCAGCTTCCAAGTGAATTCTTGGAGCCATCTCCTGAGAGGCAATTGGTGATTGGTTTTGACTGTGAGGGTGTTGATCTTTGTCGTAATGGAACTCTTTGTATCATGCAGGTGATTTTTTTTTGGGTTACCATTTTAGGCTAGATAACTGAATTGGACACTGCAGTTTTAAAATTTTCCTTTGTGTCATGGGATTGATTTTAACTTTTTTTTTTTAACTTTACCATAATTTTATGTAGAATACCATTTCCTATGACCAGACGTGTATTTTATCTACTTTTGAAAACTAATAAGATGTGCGTATAAGCATTACAAATGAATATGAGCCTAAGTAGACTGATTGAAAGATGATAGCTTACCTATTTAGTTAGACATTTCATGGTTTCATGATGTAAGCATTGCTATACAATTGGTGTATATGTAGTCGTGAATCTAGAAGTAGTATAGTAGTGAGTGACTGAGTGTAGATATTATGCACATTGCCAAGATCTATTGATGTCGGAGTCCAAAGGATTAGGTTTTTTAGCTTTTCTTTACTAGGTCTCTTCAGTTTATTTCGCATCAGCATTGAGTATAAAACATTATGTTTTTTAATTTGTCATATTGATGTGGAATTTTTGCGCTTCTCAAACTGGGTGCTGTTTCCATATCCAAAGCAATATGCTGTAATTTTCTTTTTGACCTTTTAACTCTTCTATCCATGGCATTTATTTAGGATTTCATATGTGTATAATCAATGGATTTGCATGATGAGAGTTAAACAGGGCAGTTGAAATATGGTTTGCTTTTTTTGCAGCTGGCCTTTTCAGATGCTATATATTTGGTTGATGCTATTCAGGGTGGAGAGATGCTTATGAAAGCCTGCAAGCCTGCACTTGAGTCCAGTTACATCACTAAAGTTATTCATGATTGCAAACGAGATAGTGAGGTCTCTTATAGATTTCTTCTGCTTTTGGACCTCAGGATATTTGAATGAATGTTTCATGTTTGATGTTTTTGAACCTGTTTTTATCTTGCAGGCACTGTACTTTCAATTCGGGATTAAGTTGCACAATGTTGTGGATACCCAGGTGAGCGTCTTCACTTTTTCAAGTTTATGGCTGGCATTGCTGGCCATCTTGTTTCTTCTCTTTTTTCTTTCCCCCTTTTACCTGTGCTGTAGTATTTCTTGTGGAAGCTTTCTAGTAGTCTGTCATACTGTATTGCAAAAAAACTATGACCAGTTTAAAAAGGAGATATGTGTTTTTTCTGGACGGTGGTTTTCTGGAGGGGGGTTGAGGTTTGGATATCTGATTGAAAACACATCCTAGAGGTTATCAGGTTTTCTGTTTACTACATGTTATTGATATTCACGATTTAATTATTTGTTTTGCCAACATTAACAGTCTACTTACTTTGAACAATGGGTCTATTTAATTGACTAGGTGTAGATCCCTTTTGTTAGCCCGCTGCACATTTGTAAGCCATTATCTTGTTCTTCACTGCTTTTTTTTTGAGCCCAAAAAACACTTGAGCATTTGTTGTGCATAATCTCTTTGGGAGCTTCTTTAATAATGGGCTGGTTAGTAGTTTTTTCTTCTTTGTCACCTTGCCTTCTACTTATACAGGCAAGCAGTTTTGTGATCACTTTTAATAAAAGCTTGAGGTTAGTTACCTCAAATTGATGAATCTTCTTGACTTCGAAGAGATTATGTTTGGACGGGTATATGCAATGGGACTTTTCTTTAATCGATTATGATTGACAGTTTCTTCACATGCAGATTGCTTATTCTTTAATTGAGGAGCAAGAAGGACGGACAAGAGTGCTAGCTGACTACATATCATTTGTTGGCCTCCTTGCAGATCCACGCTATTGTGGTACTTGGTCTTTTTCGGTGTTGATTTTTCTGTTTCTGATCCTGGAACCTTTTGCAGTTTAATGAATATTTTTATCAAGAGTGCTTGCTTGGCATGTGTCATTATCATTGTTGGAATGGTTGTAGTTTCAGTGGTTTTTATTTGCATTTTCCGGAGTAACTCATGTGCATCTGATTTAGTCGGGCAGATGGGGAGCTAGAAAAGTAATGTGCAGAGTGAAATTATATGTTAAAATATGAATCCGACCAAATCTTATTGGCTATTCCATTTTTGAATTTTTTTCCTTTCAATTTTTCTTTTTACATTATGGAACATGACACGGTTGGTCATCTACAAGCTCAGGAAGACACATGCATCTGTCTTAACAGAATGTGTAGTGTGCCCGTCCATAACTTAGCAAAAGGATATATTCCTGGATCTTGTACTCCCTTTTGTAGTATGTTTACCATTCTACAGTTTCTCTAATCCTAGAGGATGTGGTATTTTTGTTGACATGCATTTATCACCTATTATTGTGCGGAAATGGTTCTTGGATTTTGACTTCGAGATTTGAATGCAGGTATATCTTATGTCGAGAAGGAAGAAGTTCGTGTACTTCTGAGGCAGGTTGGTTTCAGTGTCTTCTTAATAACTGTTCTGAAACCGGGAGGCACAGGGTCGTCCCTGTTGGCAAAGGCTTACCTCCCACAGTCAAAACTTATGTTCAAGCCTCTACCCCCCCCCCCCTCCTTCTTTTTTTCCCCTTCACTAATTACATAATATGCTTTTCTTAGCTGTATTAAAAAAAAGTTATCCTTCCTCTGGTCTGCTTCTCACAGTGCAGACTTCTGGGTCTTTTGGTAAAAAGGAAAAGTTGTTTGTCCTTGCTTTAGATGAAGTTCAATGGATCAATCTCTTATGATGGTTATACGTACTATTTTTTTAATATATTTATTTTTCCATATATAAAACCTCAGATCTGCATTTTCAGCCCATCTCCATAATATAGATGAACTTTATTGCCACGTGCATCTTATATTTCAGTGAATGGCTCATCACCTCCTTACGCATCTGACCAATGAATGAAGGTGGTCGTCTGTGATTTTTCCTTAATGTTTAGTGTACTAAGTTATGGAAAGTCCTCCATTCACAACTAATAGCCGATGCTGGTGCGTAATGTATTAAGCTATAAGCCAAACATAAGATCATAGAAATCTCCTTTGGTGACATGCTGAATTAGTTAATTCGTTAACAGATCATATTATGCTGTTTGAGCAACGTATTAGGATGGAGAACTGCCGGTCCAAACATCTATTTGGCTTGTTTGAGCTCAGAGCAGTGAGAAAGTACATACAAAGTTTATATTGTTTTGACATTCGGTAACATCTAGGATCACCTTAATCATTCAGCATGAGAACTTACACATATTCACCAATACATATCATCCTTTTTTTTTGTGTGTGAATATAGATGTAAGTTCTTAATTTTAGTTGTCAGCAATACACGTGGAGGGATATGTGGTGTTGTCTTTGATCAGTTCTTGATTTACATTTCCAGGACCCTAACTTCTGGACATATAGACCACTCTCTGAACTGATGGTCCGTGCTGCTGCAGATGATGTTCGCTTTCTTCTTTATATTTATCATAAGATGGTTGCGAAATTGAATCAACAATCTTTATGGTATCTTGCTGTCCGTGGTGCATTGTATTGTCGATGTTTCTGCCTAAATGACAATACTTTTGCAGATTGGCCGTCTCTTCCTCCAATCCCAGGTTTTCCGCTCTTTCCCCCAAATAAGCAACAATTAGTTCTTTGGTCAACACACGCGCATGTGCAGGTGCATGCTTGGCATGCACACAGGCACAACTTAGACATGGTGCTGCGTCATAGAAGTGCATTTTTTTTTTTCATAACAAAAACGGGTGATTGCCAAACGCCACTAAATGTTTTCCTTTATAATAACAATGGTCATTATGTCATTGCATCCCCTATTTAGTTATTAAATATTAAACTATTAAGTTTCTTGAATATATTAAATCAAAATTCCGAGGCCTTAAAGGTTATTTTTCAAAATATGTGATCGACACATGTCTCTCGTATATTCAATTGTACGTAGTAATCAGTACAAAGCAAACCCGTCCCATTAGTCAATAAAGAATGAGTTTTTCCCAAACTTCATTCAAGAAAAAAATTCTTATGTGTTTCGACTTATAGTCATCAATATCTCCGTCTCGTATTTATCCTCTACATTTTCTAATGAAAATCTAATATATTTTGCTTATTCTTATATACCCACTGAAAAAAGTTACTAGACAAAGATAATCACTTGTTGATATAGAAAAAAACGAGTTGCTTACCTGCCATAGTACTTTGGGTCAACCGTGGTCTTTCCACGGACAGAAAGTGATACTTTAAGCAAGACCCTATATTTATATTTGAACAAATATATTATTAATCACTCACTTATGTTAGGGTTTCAAATCGAACACACGTGGCCACACAAGACTTGCCTCAGGACTTTGGCATGTGATCAACGTGGCTTGTCCACGTGGTCCATTCTTAGCAGATTAAAACTCATACATAAACCTTTTCTTTTCTTTTTTTGTCGTTGTGTTTTTTTGTCCTTGAACCATCGGTTTCAAGATCGGGAGAATTACGTATAGACCCAGATTTGTAGTTTAATTATTTAAATTTTTTGATATTCGAAATATTATACACAAATCTTTTGAAATTTATATGCACATAATATTTAGACTCCTACCGTTGAATGTCTGTTAATATATCCGTTAATAAATTACACTCAAACTTCTTGAAATTTATAGAAGCATAATACTTAAACTCCTCAAGTTTAAGATGTTATACTTAGACAAAAATATTCTAATCAAATATAAAATATAAAATATTTTAAATTTTACAACCAAAATTCAAGTTATATTATATCATTTATTGAAATAAAATTAAAAATAAACGTCAATTTTTCTTAAAAAAATCGTAACTAGTATATAATTATACTATTTATTGGAAAAAAACTAAAAAATCAAATAAGGAGTCTAAGTCATTAATAATAGAATATGAATTTTATAACCAAAATTTATGTTATATTATGTCATTTATTGAAATAAAATCAAAAATAAAAATTTATTTTTTTCTTAAAAAATCATAATTAGTATACAATTATACTATCTATTGGAATAAAACTAAAAAAATTTAACAATTGGTTAAACTGTAATTGATACAATATATTCTAGCTTTAATTGGGGGTAATTTGAAAGTTTAATTTAGTCGTTTTAACAATCAAATTAAATTTCAATAGATAGTATAATTATATATTAATTATGATTTTTTAATAAAATTTTAGATTTTTATTTTTAATTTTATTTTACTAAATGTCATAATATAACATGAAATTTGGTCGTAAAATTTAAAATATTTGATATTTTATTTTTGATCGAAATATTTTTGGTCTAAATATAAAATTTTAAATTTGAGGGGTGTAAGTGTTATGCGTGTACAAATTTTAGGAGATCTGGATGTAATTATAATTGTATACTAATTGCGTTTTTTTTAAAAATAAATTAAATTTTTAATGATACAATAGAATATGAATTTTAATTATAAAATTTAAAATATTTGATATTTTATCTTTGATTGAAGTATTTTTTTTGTCTAAATATAACATTCAAAACTTAAAGAGTATAAGTAATATATGTTTACAAACTTTAAAGAGTTTTGGTGTAAGTTATTAGCAGACTAAACATAACCCGTACTTGAAGACACGATAAAATATAAAATTCGAGCGTCTAAAAAATCGATTTCATTATATTAATTTTTTTAAAAATATATTAATTACAAATTAATCAAATATTAAATAATTAAATATATGATAAAAATGAGTGATGTGATATTTTTAGGGAAGAAATATATAAATGATTAAACATATGATAAAAATAAATAATGCGATTTAACGTTTGAATCTGACAAAAGAATGATAGGTGAAGTAAATGATTAATGATGATTTTAAAAGAAAAAATATGACTGGGATAAAATTCAAACACACTCTTATTTTATTATATAAATATATTTACCGCAGTCCAAGTGTAACGTGCATGTGCAAACAAATTTTAGAGGATTGCGTGTAATATTTCAAAAGTCAGGGAATTTGAGTGAATAAGTGGCAAACCTCTGGGCCTCGGGGTCCGAACGTAATTCTCCTTTTTTTTTTTTTTTTTTTTTTTGTCCTTAAACCGTCGGTTTCAAGATTCCAGCAATTGCACATACTTATAAACACCGGCTAGTTCAGAGGTGCAATTTGATCTGCTTGGATGGTCTGATCAAATGGCCTCTAGTCCTCATCAAACCCACATCCCTCTTCCTCCTGACCCAGGTAATTCTTTTGCTCTTCGTTTTTTTTGTCCTGTAAAAATGTATCTTCAATTGGATTGTAACTATGAGCTAATAGACAATGTTTAGTCAGGTATGATCAACAATTATTTCTTGGGTTTTGCTTATTTTGAGTTGGGTTTTGGAAATTATCGACCATATGCCTGCTGATTTGATGAATTAGAGTGTTTCAATTATTTCTGAATACGGGTGATTTGATACTGTTACTGATCTCAATCTCTTGGTTCATGCTGGCAATTACAAATCATGCCTATAGATTCAAGAATATATGTTGTCAGTCGCATTTCTAGTCCTCTGTGAGGGTGTGGCTGTGGGTGTGCTGTTCTGCTTTGGGTTTTGAAATGGCTTGTTAAAATAACTTGATATGAAAATTAGGTTTAACGTGAATTTATCACCGTTTGCTTCAGATGGTTGGGAGTTTCCATATTGTTGTTAATTGGGCTTCATTCCTCCTTCACTAGGAATTTTGAGAGAATGATATTTTTTTCCCAACTTTCTAGATACGTACAGTGATGACTCACATTCATGCATCCCACTTGCTTTTTGGGAATTCCTGAATGTAGTACTATTTCAGGCATTTATACACGTCTTCGTGTTAGGCGCTTGTAACAATTACCAGACCTGACAATTGTAGGGGGCATGGGTATCCAATGTAGTCCAATGGAACCAGTTTAGGCACGGCATTTGGGATGTTGGTATTGAGTTAGGGGTTGTTCCTAACATTTTTTTTTTATGAAATAGAAATTATTAGACTTTATACTGAAAATTTATGGGCATCGTGTGAGTTTAACGAGTTAATTATGGTTATATCTTTATATTAGATTGTCATTTTACATGCTAAGTGGGCTTATTTAGTTTGCACTGCACATCCAGTTACACCACACTCTTTAGCATCTAAAATCCGCTCTCGTACTTAACAGAGCACAACGTAACATTTTTTTTCTTGCAAAAGTTAATATAGTTGGTGAGAACGATTAACTAACAAGGATGCAGAGCTAGGAAATTTTATGGTATGTGATGCTCTGGAATTATATTGTCCTTTTCCCTCATTTTCTGTCCTTTTTTTTCCCTGTACTTTGTAATTAGTTTCCTGAGGTCTGCACCATTCCCACTTGCTAGTTGTCTGTGTCTTAGATTTGATTCTGAGAATTGTTCTGATTAATGCACCCTGTTTAGTAATACCACTATTAAAATCCCAAAAGAAACTGGAAAACTAAAACCTTGGGGGGGGGGGGGTTAACAGCTTCGACTGAACATGGACCTGAAGGTGGTATGTGAATTGTACTCGTTGGTTTTCAGTTTGTTATCCAGAAGATGGTATTTCAATTTTCTTGTTTGCATCTATCTGTTTTAAGAATTATTGCAATCCATATTGCTGTTGTTTCTCCTATTTTTTGCAAAGCCATATCTCTAAGTTGGGCATTTTAACTTCCAATCTACATTTTAAAACAGTAATTTACTGTTTTTGCAGGTGAAAATACCATCACTCATGAAGCTAACTTGTCTCCAGTTCCTATTTATATTGTCACACATGCGGGTCAGCTTCCAAGTGAATTCTTGGAGCCATCTCCTGAGAGGCAATTGGTGATTGGTTTTGACTGTGAGGGTGTTGATCTTTGTCGTAATGGAACTCTTTGTATCATGCAGGTGATTTTTTTTTGGGTTACCATTTTAGGCTAGATAACTGAATTGGACACTGCAGTTTTAAAATTTTCCTTTGTGTCATGGGATTGATTTTGACTTTTTTTTTTAACTTTACCATAATTTTATGTAGAATACCATTTCCTATGACCAGACGTGTATTTTATCTACTTTTGAAAACTAATAAGATGTGCGTATAAGCATTACAAATGAATATGAGCCTAAGTAGACTGATTGAAAGATGATAGCTTACCTATTTAGTTAGACATTTCATGGTTTCATGATGTAAGCATTGCTATACAATTGGTGTATATGTAGTCGTGAATCTAGAAGTAGTATAGTAGTGAGTGACTGAGTGTAGATATTATGCACATTGCCAAGATCTATTGATGTCGGAGTCCAAAGGATTAGGTTTTTTAGCTTTTCTTTACTAGGTCTCTTCAGTTTATTTCGCATCAGCATTGAGTATAAAACATTATGTTTTTTAATTTGTCATATTGATGTGGAATTTTTGCGCTTCTCAAACTGGGTGCTGTTTCCATATCCAAAGCAATATGCTGTAATTTTCTTTTTGACCTTTTAACTCTTCTATCCATGGCATTTATTTAGGATTTCATATGTGTATAATCAATGGATTTGCATGATGAGAGTTAAACAGGGCAGTTGAAATATGGTTTGCTTTTTTTGCAGCTGGCCTTTTCAGATGCTATATATTTGGTTGATGCTATTCAGGGTGGAGAGATGCTTATGAAAGCCTGCAAGCCTGCACTTGAGTCCAGTTACATCACTAAAGTTATTCATGATTGCAAACGAGATAGTGAGGTCTCTTATAGATTTCTTCTGCTTTTGGACCTCAGGATATTTGAATGAATGTTTCATGTTTGATGTTTTTGAACCTGTTTTTATCTTGCAGGCACTGTACTTTCAATTCGGGATTAAGTTGCACAATGTTGTGGATACCCAGGTGAGCGTCTTCACTTTTTCAAGTTTATGGCTGGCATTGCTGGCCATCTTGTTTCTTCTCTTTTTTCTTTCCCCCTTTTACCTGTGCTGTAGTATTTCTTGTGGAAGCTTTCTAGTAGTCTGTCATACTGTATTGCAAAAAAACTATGACCAGTTTAAAAAGGAGATATGTGTTTTTTCTGGACGGTGGTTTTCTGGAGGGGGGTTGAGGTTTGGATATCTGATTGAAAACACATCCTAGAGGTTATCAGGTTTTCTGTTTACTACATGTTATTGATATTCACGATTTAATTATTTGTTTTGCCAACATTAACAGTCTACTTACTTTGAACAATGGGTCTATTTAATTGACTAGGTGTAGATCCCTTTTGTTAGCCCGCTGCACATTTGTAAGCCATTATCTTGTTCTTCACTGCCTTTTTTTTGAGCCCAAAAAACACTTGAGCATTTGTTGTGCATAATCTCTTTGGGAGCTTCTTTAATAATGGGCTGGTTAGTAGTTTTTTCTTCTTTGTCACCTTGCCTTCTACTTATACAGGCAAGCAGTTTTGTGATCACTTTTAATAAAAGCTTGAGGTTAGTTACCTCAAATTGATGAATCTTCTTGACTTCGAAGAGATTATGTTTGGACGGGTATATGCAATGGACTTTTCTTTAATCGATTATGATTGACAGTCTCTTCACATGCAGATTGCTTATTCTTTAATTGAGGAGCAAGAAGGACGGACAAGAGTGCTAGCTGACTACATATCATTTGTTGGCCTCCTTGCAGATCCACGCTATTGTGGTACTTGGTCTTTTTCGGTGTTGATTTTTCTGTTTCTGATCCTGGAACCTTTTGCAGTTTAATGAATATTTTTATCAAGAGTGCTTGCTTGGCATGTGTCATTATCATTGTTGGAATGGTTGTAGTTTCAGTGGTTTTTATTTGCATTTTCCGGAGTAACTCATGTGCATCTGATTTAGTCGGGCAGATGGGGAGCTAGAAAAGTAATGTGCAGAGTGAAATTATATGTTAAAATATGAATCCGACCAAATCTTATTGGCTATTCCATTTTTGAATTTTTTTCCTTTCAATTTTTCTTTTTACATTATGGAACATGACACGGTTGGTCATCTACAAGCTCAGGAAGACACATGCATCTGTCTTAACAGAATGTGTAGTGTGCCCGTCCATAACTTAGCAAAAGGATATATTCCTGGATCTTGTACTCCCTTTTGTAGTATGTTTACCATTCTACAGTTTCTCTAATCCTAGAGGATGTGGTATTTTTGTTGACATGCATTTATCACCTATTATTGTGCGGAAATGGTTCTTGGATTTTGACTTCGAGATTTGAATGCAGGTATATCTTATGTCGAGAAGGAAGAAGTTCGTGTACTTCTGAGGCAGGTTGGTTTCAGTGTCTTCTTAATAACTGTTCTGAAACCGGGAGGCACAGGGTCGTCCCTGTTGGCAAAGGCTTACCTCCCACAGTCAAAACTTATGTTCAAGCCTCTACCCCCCCCCCCCTCCTTCTTTTTTTCCCCTTCACTAATTACATAATATGCTTTTCTTAGCTGTATTAAAAAAAAGTTATCCTTCCTCTGGTCTGCTTCTCACAGTGCAGACTTCTGGGTCTTTTGGTAAAAAGGAAAAGTTGTTTGTCCTTGCTTTAGATGAAGTTCAATGGATCAATCTCTTATGATGGTTATACGTACTATTTTTTTAATATATTTATTTTTCCATATATAAAACCTCAGATCTGCATTTTCAGCCCATCTCCATAATATAGATGAACTTTATTGCCACGTGCATCTTATATTTCAGTGAATGGCTCATCACCTCCTTACGCATCTGACCAATGAATGAAGGTGGTCGTCTGTGATTTTTCCTTAATGTTTAGTGTACTAAGTTATGGAAAGTCCTCCATTCACAACTAATAGCCGATGCTGGTGCGTAATGTATTAAGCTATAAGCCAAACATAAGATCATAGAAATCTCCTTTGGTGACATGCTGAATTAGTTAATTCGTTAACAGATCATATTATGCTGTTTGAGCAACGTATTAGGATGGAGAACTGCCGGTCCAAACATCTATTTGGCTTGTTTGAGCTCAGAGCAGTGAGAAAGTACATACAAAGTTTATATTGTTTTGACATTCGGTAACATCTAGGATCACCTTAATCATTCAGCATGAGAACTTACACATATTCACCAATACATATCATCCTTTTTTTTTGTGTGTGAATATAGATGTAAGTTCTTAATTTTAGTTGTCAGCAATACACGTGGAGGGATATGTGGTGTTGTCTTTGATCAGTTCTTGATTTACATTTCCAGGACCCTAACTTCTGGACATATAGACCACTCTCTGAACTGATGGTCCGTGCTGCTGCAGATGATGTTCGCTTTCTTCTTTATATTTATCATAAGATGGTTGCGAAATTGAATCAACAATCTTTATGGTATCTTGCTGTCCGTGGTGCATTGTATTGTCGATGTTTCTGCCTAAATGACAATACTTTTGCAGATTGGCCGTCTCTTCCTCCAATCCCAGGTTTTCCGCTCTTTCCCCCAAATAAGCAACAATTAGTTCTTTGGTCAACACACGCGCATGTGCAGGTGCATGCTTGGCATGCACACAGGCACAACTTAGACATGGTGCTGCGTCATAGAAGTGCATTTTTTTTTTTCATAACAAAAATTGCTGTCCATTGTACCTCCATAAACACAGGCAATGATTCAAGACGACTTAAGCATGCATATGATCATTATATCCGTAACTTATTCACTATGCTTGCTTGTTTGCGAACAAGATTAATGAGGCGGGCTCTAAGTAATTGTGATAATGCTTTGTTGAGTTGAGTAGAGGTGTATCTAACATATTAACTAAGTGATGCAATATGTCACCAATGACATGTGACCATATGTTGATTTTAATAAGTTTTTTGAACACTTGCTATTATAAGTTTTGGCAAGCAGTGAAATTGTGCTTATAATTACAGAATATAGATTGCCATCTACTTCCAAAATAATTGTGCTTATTATTACGGAATATAGATTGCCATCTACGTCTAAAATATAGAAATGGGTGTAACAATTACACGGCTCGCTCAGCAGTCAGCGCTGGACCTTAAAAAACATCATCATATTTGAACTATTACGGAGCTCAGAGATATCAGAATAAATGTGTCCTTTAAAACTTCCTTTTTTGTGCTCAAAAGACGACAAAATATATTTGGAAGTATATAGTTTTTATGATATTGCATATGTAGTCTAAGATGCAGTCAGTATGGAGTATATTTCGTCATATTAGTGGCTTGGCACTTCAAATGTGTTTGAGTCGTTTGTATGACATTATGAATAATTGTTGACACTTGCCAGGACATACTTAATCTTTACAATTACATTGATGCATCTTAAGTAGTGACAATTCCATCATCATCCATTCCACTATTTTGATCTTGGTGCCCAGACTTATAGCAGTAATTGGCATCGTAGATATTCCATTTGACATGATGTAACATGTTGAGGTATTGTACTTCAGCAATCCTGAGATGCTGAAACTGCATTCGAAGTATTATTAGAATCAGCTCACTATCTGGTAGCAACTTATTTGCATGCACAAATGTGATTGCTTTTCCTTTTTTCCTCTGGGGTGTTGTCACATCCAAGAGTGGCAAGCACTGCTTCTTGAACATTGTACCCAAGTAGCAACAGGAATTTTAAATTTTTGTTTGGTAGCTGTGTCCAACTGCTAATTTTGCTGAACTGGAGAAATGTGCGGTGAGTTAGATAGGAACATCATCAAAAATTACACTTAGATTAAATTCTGATTAATGTTCATTGTACCATTTCAGATAACCTCATTGCTGATGACAATGCTCTTGAGGAAGAAATCCTCTCTGTTCTCGATGTTCCGCCTGGGAAAATGGGACGTGTTATTGGAAGAAGAGGGGCTTCCATCTTGTCTATAAAGCAGTCTTGCAAGTAGGTTTCTTCTCACTATATATGGTATATACATATATAACTTATATGGGGGAGCACCACTTTTTCTTCCCTCCTGTTCTTGACTTGAGCATATTTTTGCAGTGCTGAAATCTTCACTGGAGGCACCGAGGGTCCACCTGACAAGGTTAGTCTTCCAGACATGCAGAATTTCTCAATAGTTACTGTTTAATTATCTCATGTCTCAATCGATGAGTCAATCTCCTTGCACAAAGTTCGAGGTTTCCCATACCATTTTGGATGCATTTATGAAGATTGAATGATTATTGATATTATCACGGTTTTTAAAATGATCTTGGTAACACTATATAACACGCCCTTGTTCAAAAGTTCAAAAATTTTGCCTCCTTGTAGTTCAAAAGTTGGCCACCACAATTTATTAAAGTTAGTGTTTATACATGCCATAACTGAATTTCAGCTGGAAAAAATCTGCTTACGAATCCTGCCAGCCCACCCACCCACCCTTTTGATGAGGTGGACTGGAAAAATTTGTGATTGTACTATTGCAAAATTGGCCAATACATTCAGACCAACTGGAAAATGAAGTAAAAACCGAACCAAATGGGTAAAAATTTCCAGTTGCCTGATAAGAAATTTGGATGTAATTTGGTTTCATGCCACTGAAGAAAATCTCAAGTCATTTGTGGAAACCATGATCCTATATATGTTCCTATGGTTTTACATGCAGGTGTTCATTATTGGACCAGTACAGCAGGTGAGGAAAGCAGAAGCAATGTTAAGGGGGAGAATGCTGGATATGTTTTAAGAAGTTTCTATTAGGCATTGCGTCTCGCTTTCAACTTACTATCGACAATAACAATAAACTTACCAAAAATTTGCGGTTCTGTTAATGTGCCGTGTCCTTTCTTAAAAATATCCTTATGTACATAAATTACTGGTTAGTTGAGATGCTGATGTTTATGCTGCTGCTATTCTCTGATCAAACATTGTTGTGTTCAAAGGTGAGGGATGCAGACTGATCCAGTTTGCCCCCATGTTCAATTTGTAATGGAATCAGTTCAAATTGAATGGTTAGAGTGCACAATTAATCAATTTGAGTGGGCCAGTAGAGGTTGATACTAACTCTTGGCTGTTAATGTCACACCCCTATTCCAGATCACATAGGGTGAGCAGTGGACCGGTCACCAAGGTCTTAACCAACTATCCCTGTACATAATAAATGTAAAATATAACGAAAGACAAATAATAAAGTGATTTATTTCACCGATCTAATAAATATCAGAGGAATAAACTAACATTACTGACATTATTATTATACTCATGTAAAATAATAATTAATCTATAAAGTTCACCATTCTAAGCATAAGTAACATTGTTCACAAAACAATTGAATATTTGCCTTACAATTACAAAAGACATTTATTCCTGAAAACCTACAGTAAAATAAATCTTCAATTCTTTTAATCTCTTGTCTATCCAAGGACTTATTTCTCCCCTTGATACTCACTTGAAATATGTTAAATATTTGAGTGAGCACTAAGGCTCGTGAATAGCAATCACCTCTAATGAGGCGTGAAAATAAATCTCAGAATTTATATACAAAAATAAATTGTGATACATACATAAGTACAATAAATTGTACCCCAACCCCTCTCATATAATTATTTAAATAAAATAATTTCAAGATCACAAACAACTTTGTAAATGAAAAAATATTTATAACCCAAAACACCATTCATTTTCATGAATAACTTTATAAATGAAAAGACTTGTATAACTCAAAACACTCACACACATTCAATTCTCAAACACATTTGTTAAAACATGTTTATTACCACTAGCCTGATAACTGACCCAGTTTCTTGTTATCATTAGCCTGATAACTGACCCAGTTTCTTGTTATTATTAGCCTGATAACTGGCCTAATCTTTTGTTATCATTAGCCTGATGACTAGCTCCGTCTCTTGTTACCACTAGTCTAACAACTGACCCAGTCGCTTATCATTACTAACTTGATGACTGGTCCAGTCGCTTCTTACTACTTAGACCCAGTAACCCCAGCCCCAGTCGCTTGTTACCACTTAGACCTGGTAATCCCAATCCCCGTCTCATAAACATGATTTCCACACATACAAAAATTGTAGTTTTAATTCTAACGCACACAAAATTTTTCTTTCATCACCAAAACAATGATATAAAATTTTCCCACAAGTTTTCCAAAATTCAAATATATAACAGTTCACAATTACCAAAACATTCAATAACAACTCCAAACATTAACATATATATCTTATATATGAAAATTTCAAACGCACACACCCATACATTTAATATAGAAAATTCTTCTAAAAGAAGTAGTAAACTATTCACCTTGATTTCCAAAATCCAATTCAAATTACTCTTTCCCAATTTCAATGCAATCATCACCTAATCCAAAATAACATATCATAATCAATCCCTATTTCTAATTTTGTCGTTTTGCGATTATATATTTAATTTTTATATTTTCCACCCATTGATATATACTTAATATATCTTTTACATATAAATATCCTTTATAATATGAGGTAATAGGGTATGGAAGTATTCTGGGTTATTTGGAAAAAGTTTCTAAAATTGTGGGGTCGAATCATAATTTTTGAAACATTTGGGTCAAAGTGCAATTTCCTTAAAAAACAAATTTTTTGTTCTCCATACTGCCATAATTTTTCCAAAGTTTAATTCATTCAATTTACCAAGTAAAAAAAATGGTTAAAATTAAGTTTAGAAGAGTATAGAGTTAAAATAAAACTCCTTGAAACTAAAGGGTATGTTTTTGTAATTAAAAGGGATCCATCTTCTTCGCCCACCGAAAGTTGCAACTTTTCTTCTTTCTTCCCCTTTGTTTTTTTTTGTTTTTTTGCTTTGTAAGACATTAAATAAATTCTTTAAAGGCCTCAAAACAATAAATCTATATTAGGTCTCAAAACACTTAAATTAACAACTTCCAACAAAATTCATTTATACATTCATCACTATTCTTCACCATGAATATATATAAAAGTATTCTTTATTACTATTTATGATAACCTTAATACTATGTAATTGAATAACTTACAAACCTACCAATAATTAATAAATTCATACCTTTAATGAGTCCACTCCTTTTATTTTTTATTTTTTTTTCCTTTCATTTTTCTTTCTACTTTCTCTCGGTCTCTCTCTTTCTTTCTTTCTCTATGCCGCCGCCTATTCCTTCTAGCCCAACAATACTAATAATATATGAGGCAACTAGGAAGTCAATTTACTTATAAAACACGATAGTTATTTCCTTTTAATGTCACTTAAGTCCCTCTAATTTTTTAGAATTACAATTTTAACCATAACATATTAGCGTGCAACCAATTTTAAATTTTTTAAATAACTTCCTCTCTTTTTATTTATTTATAAAAAAAAAAAATTCAAACATATACCTGTATTGAGTATTACAGTTAAATCTGTAATATAAGAAATACCAAAACAAAAAGAAGATGGGAAGATGTAATTAGTGCTACAAGATATCCCTTCTAAGGAAAAGTTTATGGTACCAAAAAAAAATATGGAAAGGTGTCGTCATTACAAATTTTATCGTTTTTTTAAAATAATTTTAAAGGTCATGTTATAATTTTTGTGGTAACTTATAATCAATTTAGAATTAATTGTTAGTTACCAAAAAAAATATAAATTTTGTTGTAAACAAAAAAGAAAACTTATATCCAAATTCCCACAATAATTGTAAATTTTGAAAATATTTATACTATTTTTAAAAGTAGTTTAAGGTGAATTTTTTTTAATTTTCTTATTTACCCTTTAATAATTCTTTTTCAGTACGGTAGTCTTTCCCCTCTGAACTGGGAGATTTGAATTACAGAATGAAACTGATGCCTAGAACATTGTCGCTTGTAAATAAAAGAGCTGATATGATGATCGGCACATCATTTGATATGTGTTAGAAATGGGAAAAAGAAAACAAAAGACATAATATTCTCTCTCTTCCCTAGAAAATCGTCCATACAAAATTTAGGATTAAAATTCCTTTAAATACATTTTTTTTTTAATTTTTTTAAATGACTGATCACTCATCATGCATGTATTGACGAAAGACCATTCCCCGATTTGTGATTCACATCTTTGAGCAAAAGTTATGTTAATTTTTTTATTTTTTTGTATCGTTCTAATTATATCTCATATCCCGCAAGGGATATATATTGGTAAAACATTTCTGATGATTTACTACTAAAAAAATTTGATGAAAAGTGCATTAAATAGGATCTAAATCTAGAAAAAAGGGCTTCATGAATTCCCACCCTTTCATGCTCTTGAGGTGGCTTTAATATTAAATGTATTTCCACTCTCTCAGAATCTGGAGCAAGAATGATAGGGCTTGCCCTTTTGCTCTGACTGATCTGAATCTATGCGAATATTAAAACTTCTCCTATATCTATCCACATTCAATGTTCAAAATCTAGGGCTTTTAGGGTTTCTCTTCATTTCTTAAACAATTACGTATGTGATTGGTATGATCTTGCTTCTATATCTTACTCGTTTTCTTAAAGCAGATGTCTTAGTTTCAACTGATCAAGTTATACCGACTGTTTCTGATGACAGATTAGACATCTGGCAACAAGTCACAGTTTACATGCAATAATATCTAACTCTCATCAGCATCTTTTAGAGTTGTTCCCAAGTGCTATCTGATGTCAATCTTGTATACTTCTTCACTGCATGTATCTAATCTTGAAAAGGGTTCTATTTTTTCTTATATCATATTGTTAATAAGAATTGTTTGTGTGTCTGGTGTGTTGGTACACATGAACACAATTTACTAGTAAAAGATGTTAAAATACTTAAACAATTAATTGACTTGTTTGGTACCATAGGGGTGATGCTAAGGCTGAATGGGGGCGGCTAGCCACATAAGCCTTTAGGCCTGTACACTTGAGGACAACAGGTATTGTTTTGTAGAAGTGTGTTACTATTCTAGCGGCCCATGCTATTTATGAAAATTGAAAATTTCAATGGAGTATGAAAAAGTCATATCCGTAAGTGAAAAGGAGAATTTCAAAATTCAGAGATATATGGATAAATTGGCAAAGCGATATCTAAGCAAACACCTACTCTCAATAATTTCAAAAACCAATCAACTTGAGGATTTACAAGCTCTCTACATCAACCTCATTAAACAAATGGCTTGGAATGAGAATTTTTTTTATAAAAATAATAACTCAGTTTATACAAATTACTTACCTAATATCAGATAGATTTTAGGATTCAAGATTGAAAAGAATCTGCCTCTTTCAAAAAGCCAAGTAGGTTTTACCAAGAGAAATTTTCATAAATGAAATTTTCTATCAAATTGAAGATCATACAAAAAATAATTAGGCAAATGTTCAAATGGGAACTCGCCAAAATTAATTTATGTCATGAATTTTCAAAATTAAACATATATTTAGAGGGCGAATATTTGGATGTTGATTGGGGATCTGTATATTATATAGTATTTGACAAATGTTATAACGAATGGTTTCAACAGTACTCGATTATGTTCAAGACTATGCTGTCATATGTCATCCAACCTTGATGGTATTCAAATACTTTCCATATATTTTGAATCTATAGTTCTATTGCGTGGTGTGAAAGAGAAAAATTCTTTCAACCATATGAGATCTAGATACTAAAGAAAACCACATAGACAATGACTTTACTGATGAGAAAAATCTTCAAGACAAAGAATAGCTAGCAAAAGAATTAATCATTCAAACTCACTAGGTGGACAATCTTTTAGAG